TGTTTCACATCCTGACATTGTCTGCTTTCTGTTTCCTGACTTTCTGCAAGAGCGTGCTTCACATCTCATGGCCTATTTGAGCTCTACTGTCTGAGCAAGTCTCAGGTCTTTTTTTCTGGCTCTTCAAAGAGTATACAGCTTTAGGTCTATAAACTGAGCTACAGCTTTACCCAGCAATAGATCATTCAGTGCACATCATAATTTTCCATTACACCATTATTTTCCATATATGGCTGCTGTAAGTCTTTACCCATTTTATCACATATATTAGAAATATGCTTGTGTCCTCAGAGAGCATCATCCAACCTATTCAGCTATTTTTTTTCCCAAGTTTATGGCCAAAGTATGAAAACTCAGCTGGGAAGAGAAAGACAGTTTGACAGTTTCCCTGAAGAAATGGAAAGATTTAGCCACTTCTATGTACTATTTAATTCTTTGAGACAGTTGTACTCCATATAAACTAGAATCATCACAAGGGGACAAATGCAAAGAGTTGGACTGGCCAAATATACAAACTAGATGTCTCTAAACAAAAGATTCTTCTCTTCTATTTTAGGACTGCTAGTTGCTAGCTGAACTACAGTGTTCACTTTGCCCCTCCTCCAGAGGAAACAAACATGAAGAATTAAATTGGATTTGTTTCTTAATTCCTTTGACAGCTTAAAACTAGTAATTCGCTATTGCCACCTATTGAAGCAAGTTGATTACAGTGAGCTTCATTTTTGTAGGGAAGAACTACAGAAATTATTTTTTTAAATTATTCTTTAAAATCACTTGTGGCTGGGGCTTTTAACACATGAAATACTCACGCCTGAACTATTTCTATCCTAAATTGAATGTATCTTTATTTTCTATGCCTCATTTTAATTAATGTTATTAACAGCAGCTTTTGGAAAACCTGCCTCCTCTCTTTGAATTATATAAATGAATACATTTGGTAGAAAATCACTTAGGACCGTCCATGGCTGTGGTTAATGAGTCTGTATGGACAGTTCATCAGTTAACCACAATTTTGTCTTCCTTCCATCTAGGATGGAATTCCTGTTAAGAAGAGTCAGAGTATAAAAGTTTCTTGAAAGCAGAGCTATGAGGTGAGTTTGAGTACTCAACTTCAATTAATTTTAATAACATCTAAGAATTCAAAACAGAGTTCTGAAAATCACAGCTATTGCTCTTAATCCTGTTATTACTGTAACTCATGTAAAATAGCTGACTGATATCATTCACGGAGTCAACAAGCTACCTTTTTTTTTTTATTTTACATGGAGATTTCTATAAATAAGGGAAGAGCATAGTGAAAAATGGCAAGGTAAAATAAGTAATGGATCACTGTGCTCATTATTTTTAAGATTCAGAGTCTGTAATGGAAGAAGTCAGGAGGTGGGTTCTGATGCGTTTACGTGTATCCTGACACTGCTACTGGTAACATTCTTCTGCTGTGTTCCTTACGTGGCATCTCTTAGAGAGATGGAACGGAGGCACAAATGAGTTAAGCTCACAGAAGACATCAGTGGCAGACAAAGGAAGGAGTCCAGCGTGCTGATTTCCCTCTCCTCTGGGCCATGCTGTCTCTTATAGACACTGAGCCTGCATTTCTAATTGGCACTATATTGATGAGTTAGTGAGTAAAGCTATTTCTTTGATTCAGGATTTAGATGCTGGCATTCAGCAGAAGTGCTGAGTCACAAGTTTTTGAGTGCTGGATTCTGCCCACTGAAGACATTCATCATAATTCACCTTGATGAAAAAATACAGATAATGCTTGTACTGTAAGATTAAATAAACCCAGTATTTCCTATTCAGTTTTCATTATTGATTACTTTTGCTCATTTTCTTTCTGATTAGAGTACTTCACGATGAGTCACATCTGATTTTAAGAAAGTACAAGGAGAACAGTTGTATCACCTTATTCCAGGGGATTTCAAATATAATAAAGAACCTGGCACACTCACACTAAAACAGTAGATGACATGAGCAAGCTCAATTCTGCTCAGTTTACACAGATTGATTTCTCAATTTGAGTAGGATAGGAAGCTTCTTTGAGCTGCTTAGTTGTCCACCTTCAATCTCTGCCACCATTATGCTCAGAAACCTGCACATAATTTTGCTCCTATTGAGTTTATTCAAGTGAGGATTTTGCTGCAAGAGAGAACAGAGCTTTTCTGATCCACATGCTCTTTTATTTTTACATCTAAATTAGCCTTTCCACATTTTGCAGGATCACCTCTTGGGATTTGCCCCCTTTGTTTTCCTGTCATGAGTGCCACTCATCCTGGGTGCAAGGCATTGCTTTCTAAATGCAAGGAGCACACTGCAAGGTTTCAGCTAAGGCTAATCATAGCTTTTTAGATCTCAGTAATCACTGGTGAGTCACATGAAGAACACTCCTCTTATATTTAATGCAAAGAGTATGCCTATGTATTTTTCATCTCTGCTGGTAAAACTGAGACCCATTCTTCCTGCAGTGTCTGGTGAATCCTCAGCACTTCTGGGTCTAAATGAACAGGGCAGGTGCGCAGCCTTCCTCGGCCTACGGAGAGCATGGGTTAACACTCATGCAGAACTTGGGTCACTGCAGGCTAGGCACCAAAGGGATTTAAATCTTCCCTTTCAGTGCCTTACTTCTGCTCCCAAAGCAGAAAACACAGCTCCAAATTAGGGCCCTCTTCTGCTGCCTTGCTAGGGAGCTGGTGACAAAGAATGGCACAGAACAGTGAAGAAACCTGTAACCAGGATATTAACACAAATTCCTTTTCATGGTGACATGCTGAGTCTTTGCCTGGTAGCTAAATAATTATGCAATTTGTGGCCTGATTGCTGCGTGCATAAATATTACTGAACATATAAATAGATGAAGCACAGTAATAGTATATTTTTTGCTCTCTTATTAATAATTGATCTAACTTTAGGGATTTGTGATTTGATTCTCAGTGGAAACCACCATCTAACATGACAGCCTCCAAATTAAAGGATCAAGGCTGGAGCTGGTACCTGTGCAGAGCTCTATTAGCTCAAGGTGGATATGGACTGAGACTTAATTCTGAGCTTTGTGAAGACCTCTGCATTTTGATTTCTACATACGGAGGTGACACGGTTTTATAGTTAGAACATCAAGAGGTTTGCAGAGCTGCTTATCCTAGTAGTATGAAGGAAAATTTTAAGAAGCCCATTTATTCTATGCTGAACAGAATTGTGCTCAGACCCTACACTCTATCAAACTATGTGTTCATATAGTAGGAAAAATCCACTGAGGAAAATGATGTCTGTTGTTCTCCTTAGGTCTTCCTGAAAACTAGATGCAACTCATCATGACAAATCCTAGTCAGCAAAAAAGTGATTACAAACATTTTTTTTAATCCCTGTATTAGATGGTGTTGGAGGATGGGGTTTGGGGAAAGGTATTTTGGGGGAAAAAATGGCTAGGGCCTTTTGCACCAAAGATTTTGCTTAAATTTCTATTAGTTTTTATGAATTTCCTTCCTGGAATACAGAGCATGTGTGTTATTTGCCCAGCTGAAAAGGGAGGAGAGGAGATAGCCACAAAAGTAGCCAGAAGTGTTTTGTGGGGAGTTTAGTTCTGCTCCAGACCTTCTATTCTAGCAGAAGTGATTCTAATCTAGCTGCTTGGGATGGACCACCAAAAGTTGGCATGGAGACTTTCATTTGCAGTAACTATATGCAGTGGGATTTCTTCAGTAGCAACAAAGATCTGTCCCCCCCCCCCCACGCACACTTGTTATGCTCCCATGTGCCTTTGACCAAGCTTTGTTCAGCTGTGTTTGTGCAATCAATGTTACTCCAACACCAAAAATTTCCATTTCTTCCTTCTAAGCTATTGACCAAAATCACCTACTATTGCTTTATATGGAATCTGAATAGAAATATTTAGGAGATAGTTTTAACCTGTATGAAAGACAGCACTACAGGAAAGGTTTGTTTGGGTTTTTTTTAGATTAGAAGACTGATTAAAATAGCTTGATGTTAAAAGGTATTTGTATAGTATGTTCACCAAGGTTATGTCTGTAACCTTACAGCAGAATTTCCTATTATTTCCCTCATTTCAAATAGAAAATAAAAAGGTATCCTGAACTGTTTTTCAAATTTACAGACAATATTTTGCTAAAATTTCTACTGGCAGATTTGCTAACACATTTTAATTTAAACTGTGAATGTTTTCATTAGCATACATTTGGCGCAGAAAGTCCTAGCTAGAAATAGTGATTTTCTTCCCAACTGCATTCCACTGTTTTAAAATGCTAAATCCTTACAACATTTCCAGAGTTTTAGTATCACTCAAAAGTGCAACAATAAATTGATCAAGCAAACCCTCGGGCTACGATTAACGTGAGAGGAACGGTGAGCTCGGAAGGTTTCTTATTATCTGAGACAGAGGTTTTAAAGGGCATCTGATTAAGATGCGTTTCCGTCCCGAGTACGGTCTCTGAATTCTAATAAATATGAGCCTGGATGTTCATTTAGATTCGGAGCTGCTTTCAAGACCGCATTAGCAAAGCTGTTGACCCGCTGTAAACATTAACCCCGAGCCTGACAGCTGCAGTGCCTCACCGCTGTGAAAATCGGTCCCTGGGGAAAGACACTCTCCTGGCTGCGCAGCAGAGGACACGCAGCTGTGTGCGTGTGTGTGTCCCGCCGGGCTCTGCGTGGGGGTGTCGGGCGGGAGGAGGCGCCGGGGCCGGGCCGGGCAGCGCTCAGCGCCCCGCAGGCAGCGCGGCCCCGGCCCTCGCC